GTTTATTTTTTCTGATATAAGTAAATTGATACTCTGGCCGACAATATTTAGAAGGGGGGGTCCACCAATTTTCTCTTTCTCTTCAATTAAATGGACAATTACATAAAGTTCTTCCCTTAAGTCCTCTTTAGAATAAAGTTAGTTGAGGCTGAGAATTGCTCTACACTGTATACTATGGTCAATGTTCTTCATTATCAGTTACGGAGTATCACCATTTACAATTGTAAGGTCCTAATCAGTCATACGGTGTATCAAAAGTCTATTCTTCAAATAAAGCCACAAATGCCAGTTTTAAAAATTTTCATGATTTTGATAAGTTTGACTAATTTTTAATCTATTATATACATATATTATATGAGCTTAAAAAACAAAAAAACCAAAAAACAGAAAACTATAGCGATGCCAAACGAATCCTCAATTACTCTTTCCGTTTGTGATAATTACAATATTAGTCATATTACTAAGTTTAAGAAATTATAGTAAAATGGCGTTTTGTTGCACCAAAAAAGAAAGTACTCCCTCCGTTAAATGTTATGTGCAACAATATGGAAGTTTGCGGTTGCCAATGCAAAGGTTAAGGGGCAAAGATTAGAGAAAGTTATCGAAAACAAGAAAAAGGAGGATACTTGAAAAAGCAAAGAAAACCGAAGAAACTTTGAAGAAAATTACCTTTATCATATGCAGAATTTGCCGATCTGTGGATGCGGAGCAACAAATTCTAGTCTAAAGATTCAGATTGCTGAGTATAGGTGGAAAAAGGAAATCAGGTTAGTAGTAGAGAATGGCGAGAAGCAAGTGTGAATTAGCAAAAAGAAATGAAGGGAAATGTGGGACGAGTGGCTTAAATACCTTCCAGAAACGGGAATTTCGGGAGTCCGTGCCACTAAAATCCCCACTAATCCCACTTCAATGTTCAGCTTTTCATATTCTCCCCTCATTAACTGCCCACTAATCCATCCAACTTCCCCATTACTTCAAGAAATAACAGTTAATGGCCTCCATAACCTCCAAATTTAAATGCTAATTAAAACCATTTACTTCCCTCCATTTTGCAAGTCAAAACCCGATCCATTATGCTTCCAAATCGCGTTTGGGGGGCAAGTTGTTAGGGTCCAATTTACTACAATTGGGCCGATCCACAAATGTTTTAATTGCAAAACCTAAAGCAAGGTTCAATTCTCCATATATTTGCCAAGTCAGTCAAGACCCAGTCAAGGTGGCAAGCCCACTTTACTTGAGGCCCATTTATCCATTGAGCAAAGGTATAAAAGCCTTTTATCTTCTTCCCTTACATTCATTCAAAAAAAAAGCCTCAAACAATTAATACTCTTGCATAGCTTTCTCTCTCTAAAACACTGTACTGACTTCGGCATCGGAGGGACCTTCCTCGGCACAACCCCCAAGGCCAGTTTACTTGTGTTTGCTGTGCAGGAAACCCTCGACTCAGTCATCAGTTGGACCGAGACCAGTCTTCAGCCCCAGAAAAGGACCTCCCCAAAGGTCCAATTGTTTTCAACTGAAATAGCCTGTTTTTGGAGTTTCAAATAGAGTATTAGTACTCTGTACTAGTCTTATTGTATTTTGAAAATTAGAATTTATGTAAGGATTATGGGTTGTTTAATTTATGTTTCCTATTATCCGGTTTATGTATAATTAAGAAGATATTCACCTTCCCAATGTTGTGATTTTTTTTACTTTGAATCTTGCATAGTTGCATTGATTTACCGTTTTATTTCTAATTGACTCCATCTGGTGTTTTTTCGGTGCAAAAATAAACACCATTTCCAAATCCTCATAAATTCTAGATTTTTTTTTTTTTTTTTAGAAAACACGAAGTACCACTTTGAAACACCACTTTTTAAATGCTATAGCTAAGCACCTCAATACGGAGTAATTTGAAAGTTTAATGCAGATAGATATGATATCGTTAAATCTCTCACAAAGTCATAAACAAGTGAAACAACTGATCGATTCACCATCACTTAGGAAATTCAAAACATTTTCAATGAAAAATGTGAATTATATGCGGATTTTAGAAAAAATACACTTTAACAGTCCGAATTATTGGCGATTTACTTTTAATAATCGCAACTAAGGTTTATTATCTAATAATCCTAACTATGGGGTTAATTTGCCTCTAGTGATCACAACCGGTCAACACCAAGTCAATGTCTTGTTGTAACAGGTTAGCAATACACGTGCCAGCACGTGATTGATCTAACATAAAAAAAAAAAAAAAGAAAACCAGAAACCCTAACAACCACCACCACTTCCCCTTCCGCCACCGCAAAACCCGACGACAAACCCCCCAACCCGTCGGAAAATGGCCGGCCGTCTCCACTAACCCCAGAAAACGGCCGCCCTCTCCCAACCGCCAAAAAAACCCTAGCCTGCCCACCCCCACCCGCCAAACTACCTAATTAACCTCCCTTGAAAACAACCTCAACAAAAATGAAACCGACCCTCCTCCCTTCCCAACCCCCGAATTCGGGCCTCTGGGCGGTTTCGAGGGTGTGGGAAAGGAGGAGGAGCGTCGAAGCGACACTTATGGTTTTTTATTTTTCGATTTTGGTTTTCCGGCGAAGTGGAAGGGAAGGGAGGGAGTAGTTTAGAGGGTCGGGTTGGATCGACGGTGTTGTTAAGGGGGTAGGGAGTGCCGACCGTCCGTTTTTGCGGGGGTTAGGGAGGTGGCCGGTCGCGGGTTCTGGTGGGCTGGGGGGTTAGCTTAGGGTTTCACGGTGGGGGTGGCTGGGAATGGTTTTTGGTTTTTTGGTTTTTTGTTTTTTTCTTTTTTAATTCCTTTTCTTTTTTTTTTACAATTTTTTAAAAATATTACACCAATCACGTGCTAACACGTGGCTTTTAAAAAACAAAAAAAAAAAAAAAATTTACGCTTCAAGCAGGTTACCGATCATTGGGACCATTGGAGGCAAACTGACCTCATAGTTAGGATTATTAGATAATAAACATTAGTTGAGATTACTAGAAGTAAATCGTCAATACTTGAGATTATTAAAGTGTACTTTTCCCAAGATTTTATTATTTAAAGTGCCTAATTAACACCCAATTTAGATTAGGTCTTAAACTAGGTTAGAACCCGTGCGATTCACGGTTTATATAAAATCTATTTTTCCAATTTGTACATTTAAAAAAATGAATGAATATAATTAAGAATTATGCACCTTGTACCAAAATATTTGTAATTTAAAATTTTAGATTTTCATAAAAATTATGATATAATACTTGTTCAATGTCGCCTTATACATATTTCAATGTAGCAGTCTGTTATTAGTAGTGCTATTTACAATTGTTTTATTTTTTTAGGATAAAATGATAGGCTGCAGTTGTAATGTAGAAGTTTTTAATATTCAATTTTCTAAATTGTTAAATATGGTAGCTAAAAAAAAAGATGGCATCATTCTTGCATTTAGGCAGGAAAATTTTATCAGGAGAGCGACATGTGGACAGTTATGACATCAACAACATTTTGTTTTAATAATAGTTAATAGATTAGGGGGTAATATTATTATCAGATCAAGCATGCATTATTTATATGTGGATTCTAAATTTGGGGGTAATAAATTTTGGGGTCTAAACTTGGGGTTAATTAATAGAATTCAAACATGCATTATTTATATGTGGGTTCTAATTAAATTGCTTATTAATTTTACACTCCTTGCATGTAATTCTCTCCAAGTATGTTTTTACATGTCAAATCTAAATTAATTAAGCCACTTAGGGCTTGTTCTATTCACCTTATAAAAATAAGTTTTAGGTCTAATATGTTTTGCAAAACTTTAATTCTTACACAATTCATATACATTAGTAACTTTATTTATTTAGCAATATATTTTTTTACTAATTTATTTACAACAAAAGTTATCAATTAAGGGGGGTTTTTTTTAAAAAAATTTGAATATATCGCAGAAACAAAACAATGTTTTTTGTTTATTAGAGAGGAGAAAAAAAAGCTTGTTAAAGCTTTGATCCATGGATATAGAGGTTTAAGATTGAAATTTCAATCATTATTCTGTCATTAAAGTCATAATATTCGAAAATGTTCGCTACAAATTTATAAAGATGAAAACTAATCTTTTTATGTTCGCAACGTTAAAAAAAAAAAATAGTTCGATTGCATCATTTGCCATCACCACCATGCTCAGGGGCGCCTTTTCACGGGACTTTTTTGAATCCGGGATGCAAAATCAATGGGTGCCGGAGCTGCTTTCAATTGCTCGGGTTACCCATCCCAAAAGCTAAAAAGCGATGTCTGCTGTTACAAATTTCTAAGCTATCTTAACAAAATCTTTCGCACTCTTCAATTCGTTATCACAAGCATTTAAAAATCTTCACCACTATTTGATAGATTAGTTATTTCTTAAAAACTAGATGACATTTTTATAAAACAAAAATTTTGTTATCCTAATAAGTCGGTCTCCAATACTCCGAAAAATTAGGAAGATTCTAGATTTGTAAAAGATAGATTGCGATTTAATTTAACAATTCTAATGAAGGGACGGTGAAAGTAATATTATAGTCTTAAAAGGAAAATACAGTGTCGCGGATTTTATAGTTGATTTTGCACATTTTTATTTAGACGTAATTAAGATCATAACTAGTTTCCTTAATGAGTAAGGATGCTTTAGGTTAGACTTTAGAGCCTCTAATTAGTTTATCCTACTATATATAGTCTTCTCTTGTCTTCTTACACTCTATTTTCTCACTTCCATCTTTCACGCCTCTTTCCAAAACCCTCATCCAATCCAAGGCTCTAATTTTTTGCGCAATTCTTACAAAACTTCAGGTAATTTAATCCGATCGCAAATTCATCACCATTTTTATCTCAACTATCATGGATATTGGATCAAAACACGTTTAATTTTATTTTATTTTTTTGTTATTTTTTTTATTTTAATTTTGACCCAATTCCTCTTTCCAATTCTAATTCATCAATTTCAGGTTTCAATTCAATGCAAGAAGTAAAAAAATCAGCGAAAAAAATGGAGCACACTACAGCAAAATCAGAATCCGAAATACCAATAATTCTTCCGGATGATGTAATAGTAGAGATGATTCTACCTAGACTTCCGGTAAAACCCTTAACCCGCTTCAAATGCGTATCAAAATTTTGGCTTACTACACTTTCAAGCAACAAATTCGCAAAAACCCACCTCAAATTTTCATCTTTATCCAACACTAAATCCCTCATTTATAAAGAGATTAATTGTTATCGAAGGCGCTACGGCCGTTTTTTATCCTTTGATGAATGCTACAATATGAAAGAATTTGTTTACTTAGAGGACAAGTATAATAACCCAAGGTATCGACTTACTCCTAGGGCTACTCGTATCGTGGGCTCTAGTAATGGTATTTTGTGCATGTTTGATAGCGATTTTTTTGAGTTTGTTCTGTGGAACCCTGTAACGAATCATTACCAGATTGCTGGTGGTCCTGAACTTAATTATGTCCCTAATGATGATGTTACCGGTGTCGGGTTTGGTTACATATCTTCTATTGATGACTATAAGATAGGGTGTCTGGTACATTCTGATCAGGGTGTGTGTCATGTTCATGTTTATTCACTGAAAAATAGGGAATGGAAAGAAACGGCTTGTTTAGAGGCTAATGAATACGTGCCTATAGATCGATGTTATTATTCGGCCTTAGTTGACAATACTATATACTGGCCTCCAGAAGCTAGACTATATGGGGATGAGGAAAGTCGCATCGTTGGGTTGAACTTAGTTAGTGGACTATTGACAAATGTCCCATTGCCGATTTTACCTACTAGGAATTTCGACGCTAAAGTATTCGAGATAAAAGGGAGTTTGTCATTGTGCTGTACCAAGTATGTTCATGGTAGACATACTAAACGCATTTCTGATATTTGGACTTTAAAGAAAGATGGTAGCGGGAGTTCTTGGGAGAAATCCTTCTCAGTCACTATCAAAGGCTTGACTTTGCTCTATATATTTGAAACGGGAAAATGTTTGGTAACTCGAAACTCAAACCAGCTTATGCTACTTGATCCTAGTGAGGCAACATCGAGGTCATCGACTAAAGATTATGGAGAAGTTAAGGCTATTTGGCAGCGACACAAAAGATCGAGAGGAAATTTGTTAAACTTCTATCACAAAGCTATAGCAGACGTGTGGAATTATACTGAGGGTCTCATTTCGCCTTCTGGGATATTTGCGCGTGTGGTGAATGAAGATGACAGCGAGACTGGAGAAAGAGTTGAAGATAATGCTTAGGAGCCGAGGCATCAACCATACAATGACATGTATTATTGTAGTACTCCCTATGTCCCCTTTTTCTGCGCTATGGACCCACTTTATGTGAGAGTTTTATGAGTCATATGGTGAAAAAAAAGGGACAAAGGGAGTATTTAGGTGCTTTTGTCCTCAATTGTATGCTAATTGTACCAGCTTGTTTTCGATTATAGACTTATTATTTAGCTTTGGGAGTTATCTAAGCAATTGATGCTCCATAAACATAGTTCTACATTTACTTTTGTGCATGTAATTTTGAATAATTTCTCTGTTTAGTTAGCTGTGTGAAACTCATTGAGAAATTGGTTATAATTCTTTGATTACATTGTTTAAGCAGAAATATTATTTGATACTTATTGAAATTTATTTCATTAGGCCAGATAAGTTAATTGACTTGAATGGTTGAGTAGGCGAGTCGCTAGATATGATCAACAATCTGAGGCAGAGTTATAGAACAATTTTACCATTAATTCAGGCACTTCTAATGTAATAATAATGATCATATAACTTTTTCTCTGCATATACTATTTGTTAGTTTTATTAGCTCAGTTTTAGTAAACCTAAATTTACTAGGATAGATTTAGTTAATGGGGGCAACTAAGTAGCTTAATAATGCTGATGAATTATACCAGCCAAATGAATTTTAATATGATCTTGTGACTACTATTTCTACTAGTAGTAGTTGAGTAATCTCTTCTGAATGCTTACCTAAATCTGTATTGTTTTCGTTGCACCATACCAGCCAAATGTTTTTTCTTTTTCTTTGACACCCAACAATTGACAACGGGGTTTAATCGAAAACAACAAAATAAACCTAAATTGAAGAGAGTCTTACACAATTGAAAGGAAGAAGAAGGGAATTCACGGTAATGAGGGGAATTGAAGGACGATGAAAATGAAAGGGTAATTGGAGATTTAGTGCTTTAAGGCGGTGTATAATTGGAGAACTAAGCGAGAAAAGTGGTGGAAAAATGGGTGGGAAAGGAATTGTTAGGGATCAAGTGAGGGTCATGTGGTCTGGTCAATGCTGTAGAAAAAAGTCAACGGTGAGATTACTACTTATGATAGTCTTTTACAATATTTTGCATGTTAATAGATAGTTTCTTACAACATTTTTTATATTAGGTAATTTCTCATAACAACCAAATTTTATTAGGTAATTTTTGAAAAAAAAAAATCCTTTTTAAAAAAAAAAATAAAATAACGCACCGGTATTTCTTTGATTTTTCTAATCTTTATAACAAAAATATTCAATTGTTTTTAAATAAAATAATTTTGTAACTTCTATCTTTTGGCCAGTCAGTTATATTGACGGGTAAGTCGTCAGAAAATTTGAAGTTTATGACAGTTTTAAAAGTTGTTGGAATGTATTTTATGACGGTTTCAACATCTTTCGTGCTATCCAAGTCTTCGTCACAAGCATTCAAATATCTTCGCCACTATCTAGATAAATTAACAATTTCTTAATAAAGTAGATAACGTTTTATATAAAACAAAATTTTCCTTTCCGTACTTGATCAATCTTCAATACTCTGAAAAATTCGGAAGATTATAGGTTTTGTTGAAGATTGCCCATCAACTTAGACAAATCTAATTTGGGGATCGTGGTAGTATCATTATTGTTTTTAGAGGAAGATAGATACCGTCGCGAATTTAATAACCGATTTTCACATTTTTATCTAAACGTAATTAAAATCTTAATTAATTTTTGGGAAATTTTCAATGGTGACCCTCAACTTTTGCTACGCACCAATGGTAACCTCCTTTTTTTTTTTTTATTATACAAAATGACCTTAGTTAAGAATTTTATCCCCCTAATAACATTATTTCATTAAATAGTTAATTAAAATTAACTATGGTTAATTTTTTTTTTAAAAAATAACAACCACCAACCCATCCACCCACACCACCAACCAGCCACCCTATCCTCCTTCCCTTTCACTGCTGGCGACCTACTGCCTGTCTACCTCTAGACCGCCGAAATCGGAACGATGACCACCCCTAGACCCCCAGATCGCGGAACCCAAACCCCAGACCGTCAAACCCAAACCCCACGACCACTTTTATATCGTCGAACGCCCCAAACCCCGACCAGTTTCCGCCCCCTTCCCCTCCCCCTCACCCGCCACTTGCTGAACCGAAACCAACCTCGCCCGAAACCCAAACCCAGTAACCCCCACCTGAACCGAAATCACTTTCAGATTTGGGTAGGTGGGTGGTTTCGGGTTGTTGTTGGCGGAGAGGAGACTTAGAGGAGATAGAAAGGGAGGGTTATGGGTTATGGTGGGAAGAGGAGCGGTGGTCTGGTTTTGGGTCTGAAGGAGGTGTCGGGTCTTGGTTTGGTGGGGGGTTTCGGTTTGGGGTAAGAATGAGGGTAGAGGTGGTGGTGGCGGCTGGTTGAAGGTGAAGGTTGCGGCGGCGGCTAGTATTGTCGACTGGTTGATGGTGAAGGGGGCGGCACCGGCTAGTTGATGGTGAAGGAGGTGGCAACGGCTGGGTGAAGGTGGCTGGTTGGTTATTTTTTATTTGGTTTTTTTTTTTTTTTTTAAATAAAAATCTTTTAATGTCATATTTAGGATAAAATTCTTTAAAAAGGTCATTTTGTATGATTAATTTTCAATAGGGTTACCATTGGTGCATTACAGATGTAGGGGGTCACCATTGAGAATTTCCCTTAATTTTCTTAATGCTTAAGGATACTTTAGGTTAGAGCCACCTAATACTTTGGGCTCTTGGCCTACTATATATATAGTCTTCTCTTATCTTCTTACACACTCAGCTTTCTCATTTCAATCTTTCAAGCCTCCTTCGTTCCATAGCCCCAATCCGATCCAAGGCTCTAAATTTTCTGCGCAATTGTTTCAAACCTTCAGGTAACTTAATCAGATCTCAAATTCATCACCATTTTTATCTAAACTTTCATTGAATTAAAACGTTAATTTTATTTTTTAATTTTTTAATCTAACTAAATTCCTCCTTTCAATTCCATATTCATCAATTTCAGGTGTCGATCCAATGCAAGAGTTAGAAAAATCAGCGAAAAAAATGGAGCAAACACCAGCGAAATCAGAATCCGAATTACCAACTCTTCCGGATGATGTAACAGTAGATATGATTCTACCGAGACTTCCGGTAAAACCCTTAACCCGCTTCAAATCTGTTTCAAAATTTTGGCTTTCAACAATTTCAAGTAACACATTCGCAAAAACCCACCTCAAATTTTCATCATTATCCAACACCAAATCCCTTATTTATAAGGAGCTTTTCAGTTATCGAAATCGCGGCTCTTATTTATCCTTTGATGAATGCGACGATATGAAAGAATTTGTTAACTTAGAGGATAAGTATCTTAATATCAATGACCCGAGGTATACTCGTCGGGCTGCTCGTGTCGTGGGTTCTTGTAATGGTCTTTTGTGCATGTTTGATAGCGATGTTTTGGAATTTATTCTGTGGAACTCTGTAATGAATCAATACCGCAATGCTGGTGGTCCTGAATTTAATTATGTGTTAAATGATGATGTTGCCGGTGTCGGGTTTGGTTACATATCTTCTATTGATGACTATAAGATAGGGTGTTTAGTACATTCTGAGGAGGGTGTGTGTCGTGTTAGTGTTTATTCACTGAAAACCGGGGAATGGAAAGAAACGGCTAGCATAGAAGAGAAAGGGTTCTTTTCTATAGAACGACGTTATTACTCAGTGTTAGTTGATGATATTATTTATTGGTCTCCGGTAGTCAGAAGAGAATATGAGGATAAGGAAAGTCATATCGTTGGGTTGAACTTAATTAGTGGACTTTTGACAAAAGTCCCATTAGGGAATTTGCTTACCGGGTATTTCGATGCTAAGGTATTCGAGATAAAAGGGTGTTTGTCATTGTGTTGCAATTCTGTTGTTGGTAGAAGACGACGTGCTAAGCGCGTTTCTGATGTTTGGACTTTTAAGAAAAATGGTGACAAGCATTCTTGGGAGAAATCGTTCTCAATCAATATGGAAGGCATAACTTTGCTTTACATATTTGAGTCCGGAAAATGTTTGGTAAGTCAAAACTCAAACCAGCTTATGCTACTTGATCTTAGTCAGGCAGAATATGTAGAAGTTACCGTTTTTTGGCAACGACAAAGAAGAGGAAATATCTATCACAGAGCTATAGCAGACGTGTGGAACTATACTGAGAGTCTCATTTCGCCTTCTGGGATATCTGCGCGTGTGGTGAATGAAGATGGTGGCGAGACTGGAGAAAGAATTGAAGAACATGCTTAGGAGCCGAGGTATCAAGCATACAATTATATGTATCATTGTAATATTCTCTAGGTGCTTTTATTTTGTCCTCAATTGTATGCTAATTGTACTGTAGCAGCTAGTATTCGATTATAGGCTTATTAGCTTTGGGAGTTCTAGCTCTAAACAATTGATGCTTCATAAACAGAGTTCTACATTTACTTTTATGTAATTTCAATAGTTTCTGTATTTAGCTGTGTGAAACTTAATTGAGAAATTGGTTGTAATACTTTGAGTCTTTGATTACCTTTTTGAAGTTGAAATTTTGATACCTAGTTGGAATTTTTCTTTCATAAAGCCAAATATATAAGTTAATTGATTTTAGTAGAGTAGTTATGATCAAAATTCTGAGGCAGAGTTATTGAACAATTTTTACCATTAATTTAGGCAATGTTATAATGTAATAAAGTATGCTCATATACTCCGTAACATTTTCTTTGCATACACTATATGTTACTTATATTAAGCTTAGCCTTAAGTACACCTTAAGTTACTAGGATGAAATATTAGTTAATGGACATTTAAATAACTTAATCACGCATGCTGATAAAACATACCAGCCAAAAGAATTTGATGTGATCTTACTACTTCTACTACGGAGTACTACTTATATCTAGTTGAGTACGTAATCCCCTCTAAGTGCCTATGGGAATATAATCGGTCTTGTGTTACACCTTTCAAGAATGGATCTTTGAAACGTGAAAGTCCAGGGCAACGTTACCACAAGGACTCGAGTCCATAGCAAATAGCCGTGTCTGGTTCCATATATATACTTCTCTAGTTTATGTATCATGAATCATGATAGATAACAACAATTAACATCTTGGCCTGAAATTACGTACGATAACAATTCTTCGTTAGAAATGTGTAATTTTTAGCTTATACTAAATAACAGACTAGTAATACCAATTGGAGAATAAATCACTATAATTTCTTCACCTAAATCTCCAATATCAAATCTGTAACAAAACGAGAGTATCGATCATAGATATATACTACTACATGGGTGTAAATTTGCAAGCGGCCCAGCTATTGTATTAGTTGGTGCTTGAGAGATTTTAGGCCTACTTTATCACTACTAAAAGAAGACAGATATTTAATTCCATGAATTCGTAAAAATTTTCATTAGCGCCATGTACATGTATTTAGGCTAGTTCAAAACTTAAAATGATTTCATGTTAGTTCTGTTGAAATATTTGCTTCAAATTGTTAGTAGTTAGTTAACTCCTAAGTAATTAGTTTGTGTTAGTGGAGTCATAATAATAGTGAGTTTAGTGGGTTTATGTTAGGCATAATAGATTATGATCATGGGATCATGTTACTTACTTTTAGCTAAGTTTTGCTATATATATATATATATACATATATATATATACATATATATATATACATATATATATATACATATATATATATATATATATATATATATATATATATATATATATATATATATATTGAATACAAGTTAGTTATGTTATTATTACCCCTCTCTTATCTCTATTTATATAATTTCAACTAGTTTAAATGATTTCAATTAAGGCTAGATAACCTAAAAAATACATTAATAATATACATTCTAAATTTGGCCAATTGACCGGATTGGTAAAAAATTGACCCCCAATAACAACGTGGTAAAATATAATTTTGGCGATAGTTTATTAAGAATTTTCCCATTCCACACTTCCCTAATAAAAATAATCCCATGCAATGTTCGGCTAGATATGTCTAATTTTTTTTAATAGCTACTTGCAAATACTGAATTAAATTTTTTTTCGTGGTTGTATTACTGACCCTAGCCTTAAATTACTGAACCTTTTTTGAGCAAAAAATTTGGAGGAAAAAGGGTTATATGTTTCCACTTAATTTTACAACCCCTTATTCACGAAATGGAAATTGGGGTTGGAAAAAAATTTGGTAATTATGGAATTAGAGAAATAATAAGAGATAAAATATTAATTCGAAAACTTAAAACGGGAAAAATTATTGAAAAAACAAAATTAAATTAAATTACGCATTTAAGGAGCTTTCTGAAAATAATGCAGTATATTTTTTTTGGAGCAAATGTCTCTTCAATTTAATTTTTGTGTTAAATTGTCGGTTAAGATCAATTTTTTTACCAAATTTTTGTTCTTGTTAATAACAAAAATTAAAGTAACCAAAAGATAGATTAGTCTTTCTCAAAATAGATAAACTTGTGTTTTTTAGTCGTGTCGCAGCGCATAATTAACACAAATATATCATAAATAACTGAGACAGTTTATTTAATTTATACCTATGAAATCACTCTGAATTATTAGTATGTGCTATTAATGTCATTAAAATTCCCTTCCTCGTACCTGTGAAAATCACTATGAATTATTAGAACGTGTTTAAATTTTATTGCAACTCGCCATTTTTTAGATTGCACATTTAATTAGTACTACCTTAGTTTTCTTAAATATGAAAATTTAGTAACGTATTTAATAGTGATCCGTATTTTCAACATTGTCTTAAAGAGGAAAACAAATTGTCAATTTTGTGAATCATTCTATTCATTAGCTTTCGTAACATGAAATATTATTAAAATCTTAGAGAAGCAGTACATATATACAAATTGAATGCAATCACGGATTTAATGCCTCATTTTACAAATTATTTACCTTCAGACACTGTTGAGAGCAATATCCATTTATTCATAATATACCGTTCTAATATTATCTTAGAAGATGCAATCTCGGATTTTATAATTATAATTTCTCCACATTATTCAGACATTGTTGTGGGCAAAATCCATTGACTTAATTCTACCCTAATCCCAAAATAACAAGTCAACAACAAAAAAAAAAAGTTGACTTGACCATTGACCAACAATATAAATAGTCTTTCTCTTTCCTCAGTCACTGTCACTTTCATTACAAGCCGCCACCCTAACCCTTGCATACAAACCTGAAATTCATCATTCTCTCTTCTCATCCGATCAACCCACTTAATCTGCGCCAAAACTCTTCAGGTATTAATCTAATCTGAAATATTCACTAATTTCATCTATAATTTAATCAATTCAAAATCCCCATTTTATAATTCAAACTTAATTAATCCTTTATTATTTGTGTGTTTTCATTTTTCTAGTCCAGTTTTTGATCCGGCGTTGCAAGATGATGAACAACACATCAGCAAAGAAATCGGAATATGAACCGACACACGCAACTCTTCCGGATCATCTCATCGAGGAAAACATCCTGATAAGACTTACGCTAAAACCTCTAATTCGCTTCTAATGTGTTTCCAAAGGATGGTTTTCCATGATATCGAGTCGTGAATTCGCAAAACAACAATTCGAATTCCGGTCGTCTTTGAACGATCAAACCCTCATTGTTCAGGACCAGCGTAATACTCTCAACGAAGATAAGTATTATTTATCTTTTGATGAAAAGTACAATTTAACTGAATTTGTTGGATTGAGGGAGAAATATCTTCCGCGTAATTTTAATCTTCTAAATACTGGTGTGGTGGATTATTGTGATGTCCTATTGTGCATGTATAACGAACAAACTATGCGCATATATGTTTGGAACCCTGTGACAAACCAATGTCGCGATACTAATGGTCCAGTGGCTCTTGATAAGGTAGATGATTATCAAATGAAGTATGTCGGGTTTGATTATGTATCGTTAATTGGTGATTATAAGATAGGGTGTTTGATGTTTTATAAGAATTCGTTACATGCTCTTATGTTTTCTTTTAAGACCGGGTTATGGACCGAATGGGCTTTATTAGATGAGTATTATGAAACGATGGAAAAATATTATGGAGATCCCTCGGCGTTTGTTGATAGTAGTAAAGTGTTTGTTGATGATACTATTTATTGGGCTCCGAAATGTTTGTTCAATGAAATAGATGATGAGGAAATCTTCCTTTTTGGGATGGATTTAATAGCAGGGGATATGATGTTTGTCCCAATTGTACATAGAGAAGATTGGGAAATCGCGAAATTATTTAAGATGAATGGGAGCTTGGCATTGTGTTTGATTGGAAATGGTGGTAATAAGACTAATGTTTTTTTGATGAAGTTAACTAGTGATGATGATAAGGATGCGGAGGAAATGGTTTCGTGGGAGAGAGTATTATCTCTCACTTATATTGGAGCGTATTTTGTGTATTTATTTGAGACAGGAAAGTGTTTGGTGAGTAACATATCTTTATCTTTATCTTCTCAATCTCTTCGGCTTATGCTACACGAGCTTAGCCAGGTATCATCACAAGAACAAGAACAACCCGATGAAGGTACCATTGTTTGGGAATCAGAAGAACGAGGAAGCTTATGTCGCTATTTTTCAGCGGTTACATCGGGCTATTCCGAGAGTCTTTTTTCGCCTTTTGATCCATACTTGTTGCAAGAGAATCAAGATGGCTGATTAATTGGCCGTGAGAGTGGATATTGATTAGTAAAAGGGACTTAATTAAGAGCCAATAAATTATCATTCAGTGTACGGTTTAGTTTGTGTCATTGTAATATTTAGTTGCTTTTTTAGGCTCATTATTAGTTTAATTTTACTGTTTGTAATTGCTTAGTCATAATCCAGGCATTATTATGCTACCTTTGTAATAGAGATTATCTCTTGATTTAGTTAGCCGCGTAAAATTAATTGAAAAATCGATTGGAGTACTGTTGTTTTGGAAAAAATTTACATGTTTATTATTATCTTATTGTGATAGAGGTTATCTTTGGATGCAGTAAAAAAGATGGCTAAAACCTGAACATCTATCAACTGACTTCATTTGCCCTCAATAGATTGGTATGCATCCAAATATTGAATAAATTGATATTTAGTAAATAGGTTAGCTCGTTGGCATGCATCTGATACTATTATGAATTTATATGTTTCATAGTAAATGGTTGACAATATTTTACATATCTAAAATTAGCCCATATATTAGTCCTTGTTTGATTAATTAATTTATCCACTTGATACTATTGAGAATGTGTCATTCTATGTGTT